CACCAGCTGCCCAGATCCAGTGTGTAAGGAGAATGGCTTACACGGACAATAGCAGCTGACCAGCTATATAAAGGTGCCTCCGCCCTACGTGCACTTCATTAACGAGACATGTGACGATGTATGTTCTTCAACTGTTCGTTCAAGAGTTCATATTCAACACGACAGCTCAAAGTCAGGGTCGATCTTAAAGGACTGGGGCGTCATAAAGGCGAGACAGAATGACACCATACGTCCAAATCAACTTCCGATACCAAAGTCAATCGCGGATACAACCACACGATGCCAACATCGTCAATAATGGCACAGGATCCATCTGTCTGTGCCGCCTCTCGTCTAAGTGTTCCATCTTTGGCCTGGTGATGATAGTTTTCACGTCAGCATTCGCTTAGACCATACATTTCCAAGACCATTGTGCACAGTAAATCTGTTTCTTCCAGGACCAGGAAGGATGGGTTACCACACAGCTTTTCCGCCGCAATTAGTGTAAAAACCATTGACAAACTGTCTGGTCTTATTCTTGATCATCTGTGAAAAAGTAGCATTTTGACATATCCTTCGGGTCAGTGCTATCACACCAGTAAAGTTAATTTGCTCGTTTTGAACCATATTGAGACTTCCTTTCCGAGCGGATGGGGGCCTTGATGCTTAAACGGGTTATACTGGTAACTGCATATATCGATTCGATGAGCAGCGCCCTAGGCGGTGGGTCAGTGTTCTCAAGCTCTGCAGGACAGCTAGGAGACAAATTCATTAAAAGTTGACAACCTTCTGGAAGGACTGCAGCCTGCGCAGGTGAAGGGATGAATCACTGAAAGATCGAACAACGAGAGACCTTTGACATGTTTGAGCTTAGGTGGATAACGGGCAGAGAACGTTTTCGGTGACTGATCAGAGAAAAAATCTGTGACTTGGAACTGTGATAAGGGTCACATCGCTTATTGTTGATGAAGCGACTCAGGTAATTCGGTTATCTCCCCCTCGAAAAGTTTCTATTGTCCTCCGAATTGTCACGAGATTCTTTGCAAGCAATCTCTCAATTTGTAATGAAGAAAGAATCTGCTAATGGGTGACCATGTTGGATGCGATGAGGGTTCTCAATGCCCTACATCATCGGCACTAGCTTGGGAAGCTCACATGATTTCTTTTTACCGATTTGAGTTTGGATAACATCTTTCACTTCCATTAGAGAATCCTAGTGCGACGAACTCGTCAATAATTCTTTGTGCACTCCCAATTGTGAATCACCCTTCCTCGCCAATCATCGACACATGACGCTCTGGAAATATCCAAGGAGGCAATTCACGTCTTCATACACAACAATTCCGAGCTAAAGGATTGCGCTAAAGATTTTACTTGTAAACTTTTGCCAGTCTGATATTAAACTGCGGGGAATAAAGGAAGGGGTTGACTCACTCGAGTGTGGAAACCTGTTTGAGCTAATGTAGGCCCCTCTATGTGCAGACAGACAATATAGGGAGAGTGCGGGCATGCTAGCGCAAGAGTTCTAAGCTTAACAAAGACATATTCTTTGGAATGCTGATCGCGATTTAACGAGATATCAATGTACCGCCAGACGCTTGATTTGATTTTCGTTGTTGTTGATGGTTCGTGTGCTTGTCGCACGGCTATCTTAAGAGATGCATTGCCTTATGCATTTTAGGGGTAACATCCTCGAAGCTCAGCAATCGCACCAGCCCCCGCCTCTTGCGATGTGTAGGATGGAATAACTCTAATCAGAAGCCAACTCCACATTCAATGGACGCACGGATCGCAGCAGAGACGGCAAACTCGAGATCGTGACATGGCATTCTGTTGCTCCGACACTCAAGTGGCCAGATTCATGCAAGATTGCGCTAAGAAGCAATTGTATGTGTCTTTCGTTTGCTGCACTATGCACCCAGAAAGCTGCAAAAATCTCTATTGCAACCATGTATCAGAATGATAGGCAGCAAGCTGCTGGGCTGTGTATGTAACGAAGTGACGAGGACGCGATTGCAGACTGTCAGTCTGTCAGATTTTGACTACGTGTACTACTACCCGAGGTGAACCGACTTTTCCAGGGGTCTGAAGTGTAGGCCCAGGTGTATCTAATAAATCTTTTGACCTCCAAAACCCCACAATTGACTATACTTTTTTGTGGAGAAAAGCCGACCGATATGTGAAAACCCATTTTCGGAGTTGGCCCGAAGGCGAGGTGAACCCGAATGAACGATATCAACGTGATCGCTATGCACAAATTTAAATTCCAACACCACGGCCCATCACGTTCCTGATGTTTAAACCGCCCAAAATCCCGACTCGCTAACTTTGCGGCAAATAGACCACAGAAGGGTAAAGAATGGCAAAATAACAGTTTTCGGGTCCCTTAAGCCGGCGCCATAGTGGGAGGGGGGTTTCGCCGGCAGGTCAAATTTTGTGGCCTCTCAAAAAAAATTCTTAGTTGAAGGGACACTATGAACCGCAGATTTGAACGCCTTAAAATGTCTTTCATAATTGTGCAGATTTGGGCTCTGTTACTGCATAAGCCTCCTGACTATACAGAAAGTGCTGAAGTTTTCTTTCTTTTTTGTGATATAGCTTTTTTTCTTCATAGTTCGTATAGGCATTGTAATTGTACTGTAATCCGTTAGACTAAGTTTATCATTTTAACTACTCAACACTATAGTGGGCTTTTATCAGATTTTTTCTACGCATGAAAAAAACTGTCGTCAGCTACATGTGATTGAGTTGATCTGAGTGTCATGGCACATACAAGATTTAATAATTAATGTCCCAGGGTACTAGCCGCGGAGACGTACCTCGGGTCACGGCTCCGGTATACCGGAACAGCACCCTGGTAAGACTATTATTGATATGGTAGGGTTAGGTTAGGGTTTAACGTTAGGAGCTTATGGCAGTAGCGCGTAAGGCGGACCCCTAAGACTCGTTAGATGGAGCTAGGCGAGGTACCGATCCGCCAATTAAGATGTACGCAGGGTACGTTCGCAGTATAGCGGACACGCTACCCGCAGCGGTACGTTCGGCTGTACCGCCTGCGGGGGAGATAGACCCTCTCAGTTTCGGGGAATAACTTTCCTCTGGCGGCGTCAGATTGAGGGTGACGCTACGGTGGCAGCACTCAGTAGTTAAGATTAAGTAAAGATACAGTGTTAGTAATCAAGGGTTAGGGTTAGGTTAGGGGAAATAAGGTATGAATAATATTATAATAATATTAATATAAGTAATATATAGGAATGATATATAACGCCTTGTCGTGACGTCAAGAACTCACCACCGTCCCTCAATCTACGCCCGGCGGAAGTGACACCCCTATGGTGATGTTCGTACCCAAACTTCGGAATTGCACAATCTCAAGATTGTGCAGCGATTGTGCTGCCCAACTGCGGATTCCTAGTTTGGCTGACCAACTCTCAAGAATTGGGCAAACTGAAAACCAAGTCGGCGTTCAAACAAACCGCGCTCATGCAGCGAGTGTGTGGTGGTGTCGTGTGGCAAACTAACGGAAGAGATTTATCTCATTATTTATATCAATTTATTTATATAATCTATTTAATTATGATTTATATTTAACAAAAGTGTCGCCAACACACGAAAGAAGGTATACGACCTTAGTGTATCACATAGAGTAGTATACGTTAATAATAATAAATATAATATAGTTATGGGATATAACAGTTGAAATCCTACATAATCTATGTTGTGATGCAAGCTCCTGTTTTACCTCTGTTTGCCATCTCAAGATTGGTTGCCGCAAAACTGCGGAGTGTCGCTGAAATTCGCAAGTTTGTGCAAGATTCCATGAGTTGGCACAACAGTGAACATCCCCTCAGTCCTCAGCCTAAAGGCCAGGACACACGCAAGCGACGCGAGCGACCGTTAACGACAAACGACAACGATCCGCGGCGACTGGCCGGGCAGCCACACTGGCAGCGACACACGACGCGACCGTAGACAAGTTCACCAGCACGCACGCGACAGTGCTACTCATGAGCAAACGAGCAAAAAACCTCGCTGCTGCCTGCTTTAAATAATTGCTGTAAAAACCGCTCTATTGTATATCGAGCAATATATAAAAGTAATATACACGTCAGCATATAATACGAACGTAAACAATAATCACGTAATGGATGGCTGGCCCGCCAGCCCTGGCCGTTTTGTTTAGATGGGTTCGCGCTCCACTGTTATGACAAGCGGTGCGAGTTTTAGCCGTGGGACCAAGTCTAAACTTCCTGGCTAGCATTGGTTTATAATTTTAATGACGTAATGGCGAGTCACGTGCCGATGGAAACGGCTGTGGATAGGTGGCAGCATTTGTAAAGTGTCGCCGGCGCCGACAGTCGCTGGAAAATAACGAACGGTTCTATTATATTTGTGTCGTCGAGGTTGTTCGTCGTGCGTTGTCGCTGTCAGTGGTGCAATCGGCTCATAGGAAACAATAGTTTCTAACTTTCTGAAAAGTCGTTTGTCGATTACGCGTCGGTCGCAAGTCCTGTATGTGTGTCTTGTGTCCTTAGCAATGAGAGTCGAGAACCCGAGAGAGCCTGAGAGCCTGAGACTGAGAGGTTGCCTGGACCGGTAGAACACAGAAAAATCTAGCGTCTCGACGATTTTTCCATAGTGTAAACCCAGCTTAAGCCCTGACACAAACTTACCGACTATAGATGACGTAACCACATGAAAATTATAATATTGTAGCACTTTAATCTTTACTTTAGTAACGAAATGTTGTATACGTTGTCGATATGTTATATACGAAACACATGTCCTGCACATGTTTTGGCGTAACCACCAGGGGGCACTCTAGTTGGGATTTCTGGTACAGGAAAAATCCGATTTATTACACACAGACACTGATCTCTATAATATAAAATGTATAGTTATAGAGATCAGTGCACAACAGACCGTGGAGCAGGGAAATCAACGTTGGTTAAAATGGTGACATCATACAGAGCGATCGCATAAGAACAAATTGTCTATTTTACAATTATATAAAAAGGAAGAAAAAGATTTCCTTATAAATGACAAAATTTTAAAAACCGATGAAACCAAAACTTACAGACTAGTTTTGGGCATTTAATATGATCATAAAAAGGTGACGCGATATCGTATTATATGAATGTAATATATATGATATGATATATATATATATATGCTATTTTTATGGGGATTATTGTTTCCCACGAGGCACATTGCACTACACAAGTTGTGTGATTCTGTTCCGTGCAAAAAACCATTTCGCGACCCTGATTTTAGGCAAATCCATGTACGCCTTGTGTTTATGTATGTCGGCGAAGGAAGGAAATGGCGGCAAAAGTTAAATTTACGTGAATGTTACTGTTACTGTTAGTGATAGTGTTAGGGAATGTAAACAGTCAAGAAATTATGAAGTCTATCCAGGTCGCGTTTATTGTTACGATAAAGGACGTTCTGAACTCCCCGTTATCTGTTGATGCAATTGAAAGATACAGCAAAGTAGTGCGCTGCTCTGTGTTAAAAATCCTTGCCTGGCTTGAAAATCGTAATGATAGGCCTAGTATTAGTAATGGCAATAGAGCAGGAGGTCAGATCTTAGACCTCGTTCGATGGTCTGTTAAACTGTGCATATCCAACAGCAACTATAAGCAGAAGAAAACCAAAACTACGCGAAATGTGTGCAAAGCAGAATTTGAAGTATTTGAAGATGAACTAATGACATTGCTTGACTCTGAACTGAACTGGGAGCGAGAGAATGGTGTCGAATCTGAACCAGCTGCAGTTGTAACTGCGATGCAGATGACCTTTCGTGAAATATTACATGAGTTTGAGTTAAATCGCCACGATGTGTTTCAGTCTCCTGTCAGACGCACGCGTGCAAAAGTAGGAACTTTTACAAACCAAGAAGTGTCGTGTTCACAACAAGACAATTTTATTTTCTTATTGTCCCCATGCCCTTCGTCAGACAACGCATTTGAAGCCTTCTTTGGAACGTCATTAAATACAAGTACCAATTATGATGCTACGCTTTTTCTTATGTCAAAAGCAGTCCTGCATGAATTTCAAACAAGAAACATACGAGTGAACTGGGTCGACTGCCCTCAGACTCATGAAGCTGATGTTGATGACAAAGAGGTAGGCCTAGTTGCACTTGCATTATAGAGATTTATGAAAACAATTAAAAAATAACTATACACATGTGTAACATTCACAGCCTTGTGTCAATGTATTTCAGTGGCAGGGCATGTATATTTGCCTGGGAAATGGAAATGTTGTTTCATTTTGATATTTATTTGGCCTGTAGCCAGTATTGTGCATGTGCCACATTGTCACTGTAAGACTAAGTCATTTATAGATCAATTTTTATAAGTTATGCCCTCTACCATGCAATGCAATGCATTGAATTTTGTGATGTTAAGAGTAATTCAATTTTAGGATGAATCCAAAATATATTGACCTGTTTTAAGGTAATTTCAACAACTAATCTATGTGTCTTTGTCAAGTGACTCAGTATCCCATATTAGGTTTTCCAATTGCATCATTCCCCTACAGGCCTCGACGGACTTGCGGCCCTAGTTATCCGCGCCCCCACAGCGAATACGCCGCCCCCTTTTTGTCCACTTAGACAGATATCTTAGACAGGGGTCTGAAAACGAACTCCGCGAAAATGGGGCGGAATCCAACCGACATTTCGCCATCGACGGCTAGAGACCAGATCTCCAAACGGCCCCTAAACATTTTTGGGGGTGGTGCGCCTCACGGGTAACGCGTAGTGGCTCCTACAAGAAACCCCAAGAAATGCTGTCAATCAGCGACCACGCGCTCGCTCATTGGCCGCTACGCGATGACGTCATGTCTATCACAGAGGTTTTAACGAAGTCTGGTATGGCGCTCCACGTGGGCGGTCTAGATGCTATCTCCAAAACCGCCGCCGCCGCGGCGTCTGGCTGCGTCGTGGCAAGTTTTTACCAACCTCCTGACCCGCGCGGCTGCCCGTGGGCGACGGCACGTCGTGCGAACACGTGTGGTGGCGGTGCCAGTTTTTACACGTAGCTAATCGTACGTACACGGAAGTGCGCGGCTTAACCGCTCTCGCGGTCGCGGGAACAACGCATCTTTTGCGCAACGCCATCTTGTACCCGGTCTCTCTGGATACTATATTTTCAGGATCTAGTTGTCCGTCGCGGCAACAAGAAAGCAATTTTTACTTGTCCAAAATATACTTGCAATCTATGAGGCATTAAAATGGATAGACCTCGCAACAAAAGGCCTAGTATATAGACCTACTGTGAGCATACTTGCAGTGTGCAAACATCACGAAATGTTTCTCATTGAGCCAGAAATGTGCTTCGAGCGATTGACTATTTGAAAACTTAGTCAGACACAAGTATTTGTACGAATGCCAGATAAGCAAAATAGATATCCAAAATAGCGCAAATAGTCCTGGACCTGAAAACACTATATTTATATTCCTGGTTGCATGAGTAATAATAGCATAACAGGTGAAAAACTGATAATTGGGCACTGGTCCAGTAGGGCCAGTGCCTCTGAGGAAGCACTGGTCCAGGATTTCTGTCGTAGCAAAGTGAATGACTCAGATGTGGGACGTTTTTATAGGGGGGGGCTGCAATTTGGGGATGTGCATTCTAAGATTCTTAATAATAAATGGAATACGATATATAATTACTAATAGGGCATTTTAAACAATAACAATATATAAAATAATAATAATAGTGATAGTGATGTTCATTGTTGGATGGTGCTGCCATCTTCATGTAACAGGGCTTGAAACTAACGCTCGCCCGCTCGCCCGAGGCTAGTAGAAATGCAGTAAGGGCTAGTCTAGAATGTCTGTCTGACCAGCCCTGTTGGCGAGTGGGAATGCTTACCGAGATAACATATACTAGTACTTTTTCAGCCAACTACTAACCCAACCGAAAAAGTAATATAAAATTGCGTGTGCAAACATAATAAAATTGCAAAACCTAAACTTAAACAGTCACAGTACCTCAGACAATAAAATCGGTCAACCACCATGATGCTGCTCTATTCACAGCTCATGCCAATCCCCTCACAGTGTATATACGCAATGCGTTTCTGTTCTACTTTCTGTTTACGTTCGTGGAACCTGACCTCAGGGTTAAACACTACAATCCCTCCCCTTTTCAAATGAAGATTTATTTCAATTTGACGGTTGCCTAAATATCAAATTAGAAACTCAAATTTACTTATACGGAGTTGGAATCACCCTGGTTAATATACAATCCAGTCTCTGTGTCTATAATTAACGTGAAGATAGTAGTCATGGTGTTTGTCAGGTACTGTTATGAAAATAACCTCTTTAAACGCTACATTCCTGTAACTGGTATTCTAAGCCTTTATAATACGATGTTCATCCTAACACTAGCATAAACACGCTTCTATGGGCTTATATTCAGTCAACTAAGCAATAACAACTATACAAATCTCAAACTAAACACAAACAGGATAACTCTACTTATAACTCTATACTGTACTTGTACTAAACTACTAACAAACTCTGTACTGTAGTAGAGAAGTACTAGAGTAGTAGAGATATAGTCACAAACGCGATTCAAATAAACATGAACTTCATATTTTCCGTAGACTGACTAAATAGTTACTATAAGGAATATATTCTGCCTTCATAACATAGTACTGATGTATTTGTATATATGTAAGTATATATAAGTATATATGTCAAGAGCTAATATACACCTAGAGTGTACAATGGAAAACTGGGAAATAGTGCTATTTACATGGCACTTATCTCTACTGACTGTGCGGAGGCATGATTACGCCTCCAAATATCGTCGCCTAGGGAGTATGCGTAGAGACAACGCGTTGGTCTATCTTTAGAGGAGCAAGAAAGCGGGGGGGGGGGGTGGGGGGGGTGGGGCGCTTGCTAACGCAATACCATGAACTTAGTTCTAGAACGCATACAAGAGAGAATAATATTGCCAGTGAAATAGCCACTATTTCCCTTGCTACACTCTAGGTTATTATTAGCTCTGATCATACAATATATAATTGATGTATATGTACTATATATAATAAGTACTATATATAGTATATATATACTGAATATATGGCGAATCCTAAATTCGCACAGTCAAGGAATTTCGCAGAATGCATCTCGGAGCGTTCTAAATCAAAACCCAGATCACCCCCACTCACCTCCCCCCCCCCGCAAATGGCCAAAATTTTCTCGACTGGTAGCCTCAAGCGCGGTCACTTAAGAAAAGTAAGCTGGGTAGATCTTTGTAAGGGCTAGTAGATTTACAGGTCACTATGCACCTGGCTGGCTATGTGCAACAGTTTAGGTTAGTTCAAAGCCCTGTGTACTAATACGCAATTTATCTCGGTTTACCAATATATCAGGAGTAGATAATAGGGAAGGAGTGTGACAATCAACATAAACAAGGGAAAGTCGTAAATTTCACTAGCCCTTATAATACCACATTTACACGCGTAACCAATCAACCTTGACTTCAATCGGTACACGTACATTCCGTCGCTAGCATCGTGCGAAATCGCATTCCTCGTATACACCCGCAATCGGAGATAACAGACTAAAACGTATGACACGATTCTCCATTCTTTGGCCACATCCAAAGCCTATGCGCCGCTCCTCTAATTCAAACAAAGGCAGCTCACTAACGCGCTCTATTGCTAAACTCGCGCAGGCATGTGCGCTCGCTAGCGAGATTAGCATTAAAACACTGATGCGCGGATAACCTTTGACCCGGTAACACAGCTACCACCAGGCCACCGCTGGCAGCATTACTGG